TTTCTGGCCAGACCATCGGCCATTTCGTTACCTGGTACCCCTGAGTGTCCAGGGACCCACAAAAGACATACCTTGTTCGTTGCTGACAGCCTTTGTAGGCTATCTATGCACTCTGACACCAAGGCGGAGGTCACCCTATACGAGGTGAGCGCCTTGATCGCCGCCTGGGAACATGGTATTCACTTCTAAAATCTGAACATGAAAATGGTGGATTCAAGATTAATTAATGAAAACGTCCTGTAACTCATTTGATTGCCAACGTCACCAATTGTCATTGAAAACTGAAAAGCGTCAAGACATATTATACGACTTTGCAATTGAAAAAATCTCTTTTCATGTTGAAAACGGGAGCAGAATCGGTCCCGAAACGTCCAAAGATAAGTGGAAATTTTAAATTTTTTCTATATACCTTTATTTCTCTTCTCCAAAAATTTTTTCAATACAAATTGTCACTGACAAGCTAGTAAATTTTTCTTTTAGGCTCTCTGATAGGAAAATTCTTCAAACGCAGTGACATTTTGGGGCAAATCATCTGATTTGTCCTTACTACACGTATATTGAAATAATATTCATATTTTTATTTTATAGTAACGAGGAGAGAAAATCCCAAAAAATTTGGAATAATGAGTGATTAAGAGAGCTGACACCGTCCATGTGCGACATGTTCTCTGAAGACGACTGTACGCGCGAGAATTCAGAGAGTCACCGATGGAAATGGTGCAGCTAGACGCTTGTTTCGGGTGCTGGTTTTGTTGTTGTTATGGCGAGGATGTTTTCGCAGTGCTGTGCAATTACCGAAGTAGTAATTCGATAATTGCATGATGAGGAAAGAATTCGGTTATAATTGCACAAGTACATGAAAATTAGCGGTAATCTTGCAAGAAAACGTGTTATCTAAAAATTGTAACAGGTTATTTTCATATTATGGCGGAAGAGCCCAAGTCCGAATTCTGTCTGTTGGATTTGGTGTTTTTTAGTACACTTTCATATATTCTTTCCTGGATAGATTGTATGAAGAACTCACGAAACCGCAACATTTTTTTTCACTTTTTGAAGTCCATCTGTCATTTATTTGTATTGTTTACTGGCAGCAGAGATTATATAATCTCTGCTGGCAGTCTAGCGACATGGTTTTAAAAGTGTTGTTATGGCGAGTGGATTTCTTCGCAGTGCAATTTTTGCTCTGCAATGCAATTACCGATATATGAGGGAAATATTCGCTATAATTAAGTAAAACAGCCTATACCAGTTTGAAACATAAAACTTCACATCGACTATTTTGTTAGTTCAATATTTGTAATATTTAGTACTGTCTGTAGGTTAATCGAGAAGGTGGAACATTCATTATGCCAGATTTTTTGTGATTTTCTCCTCGTTTCTATAAAATGAAGGTATGGATATCATTTCAATATACGTGTAGTAAGGATAAATCAGATGATTTGCCCCAAAATGTCACTGCATTCAAAACATTTCCTATCAGAGAGCCTGAAAGAAAAATTCACTAGCTTGTCAGTGACAATTTGTATTGAGAAAGGTTTGGAGGAGAGAAATAAAGGTATACAGTGTGGTCATTTGAGTGTGCAACATATGGGAATCTTTTTAATGAAATGCACAACCAAAGTATAGGTATAGTGCCAAAGGTTGGTGCATGCTCGGTAATCATTTTAGTTCAGTCATATTAGAAAAAATAGAAAAAATAATTGATAAAAAGCTATAAGTTGGTAGAAACATCAACCTTGGCCTACTGTTGATTATGCCAAAAGTCCGGACCAATACAAGCACGGCTCGATCCGCCATCTTGGAAAAAAAGCACACTAATCCAGTTTTTCTCTCATATCTCAGTTATTGTTGATTCTATCGTATTGAAAGTCATTACAAAAAATGAAGCTAATTGAATTTTACATAAAAAAGGTTCAGAACATTTTTTTCCTCTTCTCCATATTTCTTCTGTTATACACTGTTGAATTTTTGGATATTTGTATTCATTGCCGAAAAAAATACACTCTGTATAGAATTTGTGAGAAATGATATAATTTGGAGTGATTTTGAAAACTTATATAATATTTCCTTGTGTATACAAAAATGTTTTATTCGAACAAGTACTTATATAGAAAAAAAAAAATTATCTGTCCTGCGAGCAGATGACTGAGGTACTGCAGATCAATGCTCATCATCTCTGTCCTCCGCATCAAACACGAAAAAGTTTTCATCTTCATGGTCTATCTCCTTTTCAGTATCACACGAAGTATCTGAATTCATACATGTACCATGGCAGTACCCACACACGGAAAGAGTGTTGCTGAGCTGCTGCAGCTGTGGGAGGCAACGAAGCCAAATTCAATTTGTTTTTATACGCTGACTTTTCGAAGATATTGAAACGATATTCATTCAAAGAGGTATCAGTCACAGGTGCACCATACATAGCCAAGAAAAATCGTTCCCCAGCTCGTGTTATTCGACTTTGCCCCTTCCTGGTTTCAGAAAATAAATATTCTGTTCTTGTGGAGCTATAAAGCAGTGAGTAGAAGTCGTAGAACCAGCAAATCTATATCCTCACCTACAATCACAGCTTTTTCTTTGGATGATACTTCTATCGCTGTTGTGATGATTAGAGTATCGGCATCATCTTTGGCATGTTTGATAGTGAATCCTCCAGCCTTGAATCTCTTTGATAACATCGAAATCAATCGAGTTTTATTCTTTTCATTGCCCAGATTTTTTTCTTGTGAGACAGTGGCAGCAATTGTCTCATTGCAGACCGCAAGCATTGTTCCGCAGTTTTAGTGCTTGAAGCGTTGCTGCTGTTCCTAAATATTTCTTCAAATTGTTCACGTATGTTAGGCAAATTGATTGACATGTCTGATTTTGATGCAAAATCACACGGTGCACGAGATCCACCGTCTATTACATATCTGCCATCTTCCGCTTACCTGATTCGTTGAATAAAGATGCCAGTTCGTATTCAAAATAACCGGATAATTGTTCATAATCTTTTTTAGCAATGATGATTCTTTGGAATAGCATCAGAGGATCAACTGGTACTATCACGTCGATGATTTTAATAGCAGAGTTGAGAGTTGCTAGAGGACGTCTCCGAAATTGTTTCCTATTATTTTCTTAATACCGTGTGTACACCATTTTCAAGAGCATTGTAGCAATCGATAGTACTATCTCCAACAACTCCGGTACTTATTGAGAAAATTTTATCTGAATTCGGAGAAGGATCATGAGAAGATAGCCAGTGTTACAACCGTTTCACATCCTCGTCATCTCGTTTTTTTCGTGAGTCCTTTAAATCGGCATGCTGTTCGCCACTAATGAAAGATACATCGCAAAATTGTTCTAACCTGTCACAGATGTCCAGAAGAGCAGGCATTGCCAGAGTCCATTTGCCAAGAATAATGTTTTTGAAGCCTCAACATGTTAGACCACCGGTGGATTTCATGCTTCTCATCAAAGTTTGCTCAATAACCATGTCTGACCAAGTTCCAGACCAAAATTTGTCGGTTCGTCTGATTGTAAAAAATCAACAAATTTACGGTATTCTTCAATATCCATATGATTTCTCAACTGTAGCATATCTTGAATTGAAGATAGAGATAGCATGCTTTAGCGTGAAGGATGTGACCAGCATGAAAAAAAGACAGCATATTTTGTATATGACCTGCAAATGAGTTGTTGGAAGTAGTGGAAGTGCAAGTGCAGACATATGCACTCGTGTCAGGACTTTATGACCTTATTGACCCCTTTTTTTTTCCTCTCCTTGTGTCGTCACAGAGTAGGCAGAAGTATTCGTATAGGACAAATCATTCAAGATTATCTAATGGAACATTGTAATTCCGAAAATTTTCGTAAAATGGAGAATAATGAACATCATTTATATATTCATTGGTGATTTGACACAAAAGTATCGATATTATGAAAAAAGTTAATGAGACCTTTTTTATAGAGAATTTGAAGATCTTGAATTTTTATCATAACCTTTGATACAATAGGATGGACGGTTACGGAAATATGATGGAAAAACTGGATCAGTGTACCTTTTTTCCAAGATGGCGGACCGAGCCGTGCTGATACGGGTCCGGACTTTGAGAACAGTCAATAGTGAGCCAAGATGTAGGTCTCCACCAATTTTTAGATTTTTATCAATTATTTTTTCTATTCAGGCTAATTGGATCTTATTTGATTGGCCTATTTTAGGTGCACTTAGAATGGTTTGCAAGTTAAAAAATATAAATATTGCTCAAGAGTAAAGTACCCTCATTTCAGAAAATTCAGCAAAATGTTATAGAAAAAAAAATGATCACACTGTATAGAAACAACATCAAATTTTCACTCATCTGTGGACGTTTTGGGAACGACTCTGCTTCCGTTTTCAACATAAAAAATGGATATTTGTATAGCAAATTCGTATTCGTCTTGACACATCTCAGTTTTCAGTGACAATTGTACTGACAAACTAGTGAATTTTCCTTTCAGTATCTCTGATGGAAAAATTCTCTGAACGCGGTGACATTTTGGGGCGAATCATCTGATTTTTCCTTAGTACACGTATATTGAAATAATATCCATATTTTTATTCCATAGAAACAAGGGCAGAAAATCCCAAAATATCTGGAATGATATTTGTGATTGTTCTGACTAGATTAGATTAGACTATACTTCCTTCTCTTATGTGATAAATTACTATTCCTAATGGATGGAAAAACATAAAAAGAAGATAACTACAGGACAGGTATAATTGGACATCCAGACCAAGTTTACGGAAAATATTCAGAGGCTACTGGTATATAGTAGTCACTGAGATAAGTATACGATTATTCGATATTGATTCCATGGTTTCATAATGTAGAACAGTGTGCGAATTATTTCTGAATTATTTTCCCTATTTCATTATTTTTGAGGGCTTCCTGAGCGTCACTATTTCTTACATAACTGGACCTTACTTTCGATCGAATATTATACACTAGATGAAATATAATATTGAAACTTCAACTCACCGGTCAACACTATCACATATGCGTTACTCATCGTATCAAATTAACAAATAATAACTTTTCGATCCGAATACAGTTTTGATTAATTGCACATTTCTCACTATGCCTGGTCACTGCCACGGCCAATTTGCTTTTGCCGAATATTTGTTTATCTAAACAGTGCAAAGTTGTATTTATGTAGTCGTAATTGGTCAATCTGCATAGAAAACGATAAAAATTATAATCAGCTCGAGATAAGTTGTAACTAACATATATCATTTGACAGAGATTGTTTCGAATTTCTCCATTCTATTCAATTCTAAATCGATTTTGTTACTTGAGCGCACGCAGGATTTTTCTCAGAGGGCAGAATCAAATTCTATAGACATGTAGATAATATTGAAAAATGCACCGCAGACAACTTTTTTTTCGTGCAAGGTCAAATGTCTTCAAATTGGAAGTCAAACTTCCATCAGGGCGAGATGAAGGGCTCATTATGACACGTTTCATGTAACAGGAATGAGTCTACAACAATATACAGGGTGACCCTTAAAGGTCTGTAGAATAACCTACACAGATATACAGAGGCTGATCCACGGTGGATGGCCTATTAGAATTATCTGGAGAACGAAAAAACAGAACATTCTGAAAATTTGTATGCTTCGATAATTGAACATTCTCTATCCGTCTAGAATATTTTCATCGATACAGTGTTGCCACTTCTATCAGAAACAACTAGCAACTTTGTTATTTCAAATGGAACACCCTGTATTTAATTGCATTTTTAGATTCTTTCTGAAGAGCTGATTTCATCAATGCATCATACTTGGGGTCTAGCTAGACTGGTAGCTGGCAGAATTGCTTGTGTGAGTAGAAGAAATTATTGAAAAATTCAACAAACGAAGTATTCTTATTGAAAAACGTAGGAAGTACGGTTTTCTCTGACCCCCCTCTGTGGACGCCCATGTATTGTAATACGAACGCATGCACAAAGGATGGAAATGATTTCCAGTTATGGATTTATCTGGTAAATAAACATAAAAAAAATGAAGGCGCCAGTGGAAAATATATCTCTACTTGCAACGAGAAAAATATCTTTTATATAGGTAGCTGTTATACGAATTTGCAATGAACTGTGAGATTATAAAATAATATATAAATATGATGCGAGAATGAATTTCTTCAGTTTTATGTCTTTTCCTCACGTCTTACACCAACAAATTGTAATTAGAAGTATTTATAGGTTCATTTTTACAAAAATACAATTTGTGCTCAAATGGAAGCTATACAAGTTCACTTCTACTTCATTTTCATGACTCTTTTCTGAAACAGATAACAGCTACATTTTTGATTTCTTCGTTTTGTAGCCATCTGCTTTCCTCTCAAGTAATGCTCATCTAACAACACAAGAACGTCCTAGGTACTTCCCTTTTTTTGTCCCGCGGTACAAGGACATGATAAGGGCATCCAGGGGATGTCCCGCAGTGGTTGTGGACATCCCGCCCGGTACATCCCTAGGTTATCCTATTCGTGTTCCTGGAATATCTGATATCCATTCACATCAGAGTCATTGGATTTCATCAAAATATTGAGTTGAATTTTTTTGAAAAAGTTTGTTTTTCTTCCGGAAAATAATTGTAATGAAGAATATAGTCTCAGAACTTCTTAAGGAATGATCATTTTTCGCAGACAGAAATCGTAAATGCATGATGCTCCTCATTTTCAAACACCCAAGAATGATAATAATTATACATGAAATCCTAACAAAATTGTTATTATTCAGGTTTCAGTTTTGTACTATTCATGATTCTGTTCTGAATCTTCAGAAGGCATATTAGCCAATAGAGTAAGGTGCGTGCCAAAACACAAGCAGACATAAAAAAGATGTACCCCTTGTTATCGAGGACCTCTGCACTCTCGCAGGGGAACAAAGTCCTGGTGTACAAGCAGGTCATCAGGCCTGTGATGACGTACGCGTGTCTTGTGTCCTGCAGCATCTCACCTACTCTCATGAATAGGCTACAGGTGCTGCAGAACAAGGTACTTCGTATTGTCACCAATGGTGATAGATAATAATAATAATAATGATAATAATAATATCAGTTTATTATGATCGACAAGAAATTTTGTGTACAATTCGTCAAGGCTATAGATATAGTGAATACAATACAATAATACAATCTCAAATAATATGAGTTTTACAAACATTTGGATAAAATACATCACATTCACATGAAGAAAAAAAAATAAAATCAAAATCAGTTCATGAAACAGTCGAAGAACTCACTTAATGAGTAAAACATATAGGAGAGCTTTCAGGCTATTCCTAAATTTGAGGTGAGTGGTACAATCTCTGACACTTCCTGGCAAATTGTTGAAAATCTTGACACCCATGTTTGTAGGGCCAATGTAGGTTAGTTGTGAGGTGTTTTTAGCTGGGTAAAGTAGGTTGTTATTCCTTGTTGAATAGGAGTGTATGTCAGAGTGTGCAATTATAGATTATTTCTATTGAGGTATATATAGCAGGCAACCTCGAGTATATACAGACAAGCTAGAGGTAGAATGTTAAGTTGTATGAACAGTGGCTTGCAGGGGTGAGACCTTGGCTTATTGAGGATGGTTCGAATAACTTTTTTCTGGGTTAAGAAGAGATCTCTGAAGACTGGGGATGCACCCCACAGAATTATGCCATATATTAAACGTGATTGTATTTCGGCAAAGTAGGACATTCGGAGGCTATCGATATCTATGACTTTGCGCATGCATCTAAGTTGATAAATTCTGGAATTCATCACTTTAATTAGGCAGTTTGAATGTTCATGCCAGTCCAGTGATTCATGTAGTGTTATTCCTAAAAATTTCATGGTATCTACTCGTTAAAGATTAGAGAGGTTTAAATGTAATGTCAGTGGGTCAACTGTCCTTTGCTTAGTATGGAATATAAGAAAATTTGTTCTACTGAGGTTTAGATATAACTGGTTTGCCAAGAACCATGTGTACATTTTCGCAAGCAGTGAATTGCATTCTTGTTCATTCTGACAGTTGGATTCGTTTGAGATCAAGAAGGAGAAGTCATCAGCATAGAGAGTGATCATATGCCCTGGGAGATAATCAATTAGGTCAGCAATATAAAGGGAGAAGAGCATAGGTGCTAGAACACTGCCTTGGGAAACACCCATTATGAGATACTCTCGAGTTGCAGATCTCCACGAAAGATGTGGTAATTTGCCAAGAATCAACGAGTTCATCCTTAAAATATCAAACAAATTCTACAAATACCACATCGTCGGAAGTGACCTTACCCGGAACATCACCACACTACGCCAACATCATAACATACGCAAGAAACACGGGCTGATATATGCATCAACCGATGTGTTCAGAGATCCTGGTGATCTATAGTTGGGATCCCTCCCGGATTCTCGGGAATACCCGAGACGCCAGGGGGAGTCTAGACAAGACTATCTCTCAAGCAGGAAAATAAAAAAGTGACATGGGCGTGAGAAATCACTACCGGTCACTGAACTCGGGCAGATATGCCGTACGAAAGTGTGGTACAACTGCCCGAGCAGAACAAGAAGGAGGTTTTTTTATGGTTTTTCCAATTTTTTTTACTTTTCCTTCAAAAACAAGTAAACCCACCCACATTGATCGCGACTGAACAGCTCTCCCACCCTCTTGGGTTCCCTCAGCGAGATTACCTATATAAAGGGCCTAGCCCTAGGAGATAAGTACCTGCGACAAACACCTCGCATATCCACTCACATTCCCTGGCCAACACCAGCCACCTCTGCGCCAAGCGGAGGGATATCCAGGCACACATATCATAGAAGTGCCAACATAAATAGATATGTGTGTGATAATATGTGTTTTAATGTGAAAAGCTTGAAGATGAAAAAATGATTTAATGATAAGCTGCAGGTCCCGGGTTCAATCCCAACTCGACTTACATTTTTTTCCTTTTGTCGAAGGGATGTCCCTGAAATATCCTTAGGACGTCCTAGGGATATCCTTTCTCCGTACTTTGTACATCCCAGGGACGTACCAGAAGAACATCCCTTGGATGTCTTTTTGTCTGAAAGTGGATGTACCTGGGACGTCCCTAGTATGTACTTTGTCTCGACAAGGATATCCCTGGGATGGCCTAGTATAAAATTAGGGACGTCCCTGGGAAGTCCCAAGGATTTACTTGTGTTGTTTAGGGTCATTGCTTGAAATTTTGAAATTTTTGTGAAATAATAACACAATGGAGTCATTGTGATATCAGATACGGAAATAAAATTGATGACATACAAAGAACCCCATTGGTGTATCCGAACACACTAAAAGAAAAGCAATTTTGTGTTGTAGCCGTAGAAAAAGTTTGTTGTTCAAGTCGTATACAAGGATTTCCGTTCGCAAGTTATTGGAATATAATATAATGTAAACTATACTTTCTCTCACATAATTCAGAAATGAAAACAAAATATCTCTATAATACATTATACTTGTGAGTTTAACGTTATCGCAATTATACCGATGACATTTCTTTTTTGTGAAGATTGAAATGATTCTTATCTTGCTGAATCATTTCAATACTGCTGATGATTGTGATGCCATTATATCACATTATTCCACTCTAAATGATATCAGCAACATTCATTCTTTTCCAATGAGAAATACTGTTGTGTGTCAAAAAAATGCAACCATTTATCATACCTGCTCTGAAATGCACTTGGGAACTTATACCGAAAAATATCGGTTCCAGAGGCCGATACATTATTTTTGCCTGAAACAGCTAGCAGATACCTTCTAACGTTCTGTTGATATCTTCTTTTATTTTTGATGTGTCGTAATTTTTGGAAGGTTGAAAATGGCGCTTTGTAGACCACATAGGTCTCACACAGCCCCTCATTCGGTCATTTTGTTCAGGCGGCTGCGTGAGACTAACGTGTCACTACGCTGTGCGCATGTCTGCATGTTTAGATATATAGCGGGGGACCGGCAGACCGCAGACACAAGCGTCTACAAACACCGAAGGCTCTCTGAATCCGATGATGTCCGATCATGGTCGGACGTCGCCGCTGATGCAGAGCACGCGCCAAATTTAAAAACATAATAATAATCCATGAGTATCAAGTGATCGAGTGTAATGTTTGGAAAAATGTTGCAAAGTATTTTTTTCTTTCCGA